TGGAGAGAAGGGAAAAAAGGGTTACCCGATAACTATATGGTAATATATAATGAATTGTTAGAAATTGATATAAATATATCATTGGCATACAAAGTTTGTTTGATTCGAATAATCGAAACATCCGGAGATAATCGGAAATTAGTAAACCCACATTTTTCGAAACTCAAAAAATTGAAATTTAGTATCTCGAAAACTGTTCTACTTTCTTAATATCTGACTTCGTATTTGGATTCATCGGCAAATAAGAAATGACAGTGAAATGCCGCAGGTAAGAAAATGTATTAAATTTTGTAAACTAGTGTTATTTATATAACTAGAGAAGAGTATATAGGTGTAGCTATTAGGCTATTAGGGATACCAAAAAAGGTACCTCAGTTTACTGGTTGTTCTTAAGAGTTCTTCGAAATCAGATCGCGCCTCCGCTCCGTTGTAGGTATTTCCTGTATAGCACTGAAAATGGCTTTCTTATTCGCTTTCATTCAGAACGCGCACGCGACATTACGCCAACGGAAAATATGAAGTGGATTACGAGTTTCTGAGCCATAACGCAATCTTAACGTAGCCGTCACGATGAACCCAACAATTAAAAGAACAAAACGCCTTTAGAAATGAAAAATATTTAGGGCATTTCTTATAGAAAAATTTTACGTTTCTGAGAGCTTTGTGTGGCATTTTATACTATGAAAAGACGTTACAGATCACTCAAAAGAAAAGACATAACAAGCTACATCATTGCTACTTCAAAAACAACACGAACAACTAACTGCAAAGTGTGAAATGTCTGATTTTGACCTACAAGCTTCCATTAAAGGGCACTTGTGCCTATAAACCCGCTCTATTGTGGAATTGCTATGAATATCAAATACATATTACAATAATGCCTGTTTATAAATTCGCATTTAAGTAAAATTATATTTTATTCAAAATAAATCAATGATTATAGTACTACAATTTAAAAAATCCGAAATTATGTCTGATTAATCCCGGATTCACTATAAAATACAAAGAATTTTAGATTTTCTTATTATTTGAATATGATGATAACTTTTCAAATAAAATATTTATAATTACTTCACTGAAATGCTGTTGCTAATTATTAATTAATCTCTTCTCCTCTTCAAGCTACATCAAATTTTTTCAGCAAAAATTGTATAGAAGAAAAAGTAAGATAACGCCTTCAAAGCCAATTCGATAAAGTGAAAATTGGCTGAGTAATTTTAATTATGGCTATCTGGGATGTAACTTTCTTTACTTAGCAATATTTTAAAAAACTAATTATGTATGTACATCGTTGTAGTTATAAATAATTATTATATTAGTATAACTTTTAATTGACTATTATTTTTTATGATTTTTCATTAATTTAAAATTTAAATTAATTTTCGGCAAGTTCCTTAAACATTAAATGACGTGTTTTTAAACACAGCTCAATTAATTTTTTCTCCTATTTTTTTTTATCTTAATTGTATAGAAAAGTCAATATATCAATTTAACAGAACACTAATATACATATAATTATGAAGATCCTAAGGATGACGAAATTTAACAATATTAGTATTTGACATTTTAATTTATTAGAACCTTGAGTTTTATATTCGTTGTAAATACCTTTTTATATATTCTTCGTTTTGGAATTGAAGATTCTTCATATTTTACGAGTCTCACAGTAGTTATTATTTAGATATATACTATTATAAAAAAAATAAAGATTATGAAATATTTATTGCGAATGTTGAAAGAGAGCCTTGGAGTTGCTGAATAAAAGTAAATAAAGTTGATTACAATTTTTAATTTATATTGAAAAGGGGGAAAAAAATTAAAGGAGGTCGGAATTCGTTGCAAATCCTGTCACACGCACTCATTTCTCGTTTGTTTCGCGCGGAGAGTAATAGTGAGAAAATAATGAGACTCTAATAGACGTTTTCGACATTTAGTATCGATATACTAGTCTTTGAGTTGTTTCCATTTCATGAAAAAATTATTTACAGTAAAACAAAAATAAATAAAACTTTTCTTTTTATTAACAATTTTTTTTAATTTATATAAAAAAAATTTGTATTTATAAATACATAAATAAATATTTTGTCTAATTCGACATTGGTGGAAAATTTAATTTTTAAACTTATCCCATTGTAATATATTTACAAAATGTGTATAAATGCGTCACGTAACTTTCCATAATTGTCGTTCAAGAAACAATACATATATGACTGTCTTTGCTCTAATAAAAATTAGAGTCCCCTTTTTTATTATGTAATTATAGTACCCATTTGATGGAAAGGTTCACACGATTAAAACAGTACATAATACATAATGTACTTCCATAGGAGTATAATAAGATTATAGTTTCACTTCTGATTATAAGTATATACTGTACATGTCGAATTTATAATTGAAATTTTGTAGCCCAAGTTAGGTATCAACTATATTGAGACATTCGTAATGGATAAAAATTCACTACGTTAATAAACGTATATTTTTAATTCATTGAAAAAAATTCTTTAGTTTACAAGCTATTTGGATAGAAATTTGTATTCGTTTTGGAAAAAATAAAAATTGATATTTCAAACATATGAATTTATCTGTAATGAATATCAACTCGTTTCACAACAGGTTGTTGTGACTTAGTCAATTTGTACTATTGAGAATATTACAATGGGTTAGGGTGCGGAAAACGGTTAATTTCATGACGCATCGCATAGTTGAAACGATGCACCGTAAACGGTGAAGCACAATAATAGTAACCCATTTGGCATACCTTTTAAACTTTGCATATTTTCATCCGTGACAATCAGGAATTTTACTCTTTTAATTTGAATCAGTGATAAGTAACTATACTGCACTTATTCAAATAAGTGAAAATGCACTGGTCAATCACTAAAATTACACTGAATTAAATTAAGAGTTAGGAATTATATTAACTCTTGGAAAAACATAATTCCCCAACATCATCGAAGAAAGAAGTGTTTTAAGTTTGTTGCAAGTTTTTGTGCTGACTGGGTGGGAAGTTAACAATGTTAACTTCCGAACTTATCTATGTTAACTTCCTGCAAACTTTAGTGCTATCTGGGTATTGAAAGATTTAAAATTGGAGAACGATGAAGACTTAAGAAGACCGTGAAAGAAGCGACCCTACCCTGTGGGCAGAAAACCATGTTCGTTCTAAAAACGTTTTAAGGACGTTCTTAGAACGTTTCATGTCCGCCAAATAATGTTCTGGAACATTTTAAGAACATGGAAGTTCAAATAATGTTCCAGAACATTATTTGCTAGACATGAAACGTTCTAAAAACATTCTTAAAACATTTTTAGAACGAACATGGCTTTTTGCCCACAGGGTAACAATTGCTGATGAAACAATACGAATTTTTGGCGAATTGCTAAGTTAACAGGTTAATTGTTCAATGCCTCGTGCTCATGCGAGCTGATCTCATGTGGAATATTTAGTTGCAATGTTCAGTAAAGGTTGAATAAATATTAAAATGTCCGCAATTTTACAAATATCCAAGTTACATCAATTACAAATTACTAAATCTGCATGGTTCGTTTCTGCTCGTATCAAGACGAGTAGGCACAAATCGTGAGCTGCAGCGCTTAGATATCCCAGCGCTTTTTCCTACAGAGTGCACTAGTGTCTCCAATACAACACACGAAAAGAGAAATGGAAAACAGGCCTTACTTTTTTCAACGTAGTGGGACATTATACTACTTCGTGGTTAGAACTCTATGAAGTCTTAAAAGTATAAAGAAAGAGTGATTGAGTAAGAGAGAGGAGGCAGAAGACGTATATTATAGAGAAGGGGATCAAAGATAGTAGGGACGACTATGAAGTGTGAAGGAGAAGGTGGTGATAGTGACACATTAAGTGAATCTATAGTAGAAGATATGCGAATGGAGACGTAGATATAATATATGTAAATTTTCTCTTCTTCATGATCTAATTAGAATCCTTTTACTGTCATTAACATCGGCATTTTTTCTTGCAGATTATGTTGATAAGAATTAGGTCAAAGAAAGATTAGGAATAAATTAATTTGTATATGAAAATTGATCTACAATTTTCTGAATTATTAACTTCCATCTCTTCTACTGGTTTTATTAATATGCTGTAAGGAATAATATTTGTAGTCTTAAATGGGCATATAGAAAAGGCTTATGCAAAAAAAAATAATTATTTTTCCTTTATTAACCCTCTGCCTACTCATGTGACCGTTATCGTCTATAATCGTCTATTTAGACGCTTGGTGGGGACTATGTTCAGTGGTGCTAGAGTGAAGATAAGTTAGCGTAGGCAGAGGGTTAAAAATTATAAAAGTGTTTGGTTTTATAAGTTCCCATCCCTGGTAGGAGCAAGGACTGACAGCAGAAGAAGTTTCACATAATAGACGTTTTATAATTTGTTTTACTCGCCATTGTCATATACGGCATATTTTAGCTGTTTGTATTATTTATTAAAACTGTGATTGTTTATTACTAAAAACTTCTGCTGCTTCAGTGTATTCGAAGTTGGTCTAAAAAATTAACCTAAATAACTTTAGTAGGTTCTGACTTCTAGACATCAGTTTTCCCAGGTGAAAATATTCACGTAAAAATCTAAAGCGAATTTTGGGTGATATTTTGAATCAATTTTACTTAGAAATACATGTTGAACTTGATGAATAAAACAAACCTTTCATTATTTCTAAACGGTTACATAAAAATAAACGTTATTTTTAAAATTATTTGTTTTTTTTGTAAAAATTATTTGCTGTAAATAATCGGTTACTTTACTATGATATCAAATAATTGATTACTTGAACCAAATAATTTCTTTATATGATACAAATACCATTTAATTGACTCAAATAATTATTGAATAATTCATGTAGAGCATAATTATTTAATATAGATAAATATTTATTTGATAATAGTCAAGAAACCGATTAAATTTTTTTTCAGTATATGTATATATTTTAAGCTTAATTTCTATTTTTTCTTGAAAACGTATCACTTTCACCAACCTGCGTGCGTCTTCGAGAGCAGCGAACGTTCTTCCGCCTTTCCTCAATTTTTCCACCTCAATTGAATTCTTAGCTATATCGTCCCTTCCTCACAAGGTCGACAATATGTCCCAATTATTAAACGCTAACCCGTACATGTTCCTTGTACAATAGTAACATTTCGAGTTTTTTTTTTTTTTTTTTATTTAAAAAAACTCGTATCACGAGTATGTCCTTAGCTGATTTTCTTTCATTATCAATTCGATTTGTTGTTCATCGATTCTGCATTGCGATTATTTGACAAAACTGTCCTTTTCCTTATGATTCGAATGTTAAATTCTATTCATTTGAATTTTTAATAGAAAAATGTTTCGAATTTTATTTCAGTATATGAATAATTGAAATTATTTTGCACCTAAAATTCCTGAGACTTATGTAAAAATTCGAGTTTTGAAATGCGAAGAGTTTCGAAAGTGCTCTTCTCTGTTCCAAATTGAATTATTTCCCAAGCTTCTCTTATAATCTATTTGAAAAGTATCGAGAATTATATTCAAAGTTCAATAGTGAAACTTGAAATTTCATGAGTAAATCAGTAAACTGATTATAACTTTCACTGTTTTATGGAAGTTTTGATGAAAACACGATAGATTCCTTCTGGCACTGCGCGCGGTGTTACAATATAAATTTTTTTTAAATTCTCATAAAGTTCTCTCAAATTTTCAAAAAAAAAATATGCAGAGAGAAAATTTAATTTTAATCCGAAGTTATAAATGATGTTTCAATTTTTTTTTAAGGAAAATTTCTTTAGTGAAGTTTTAAATCTGTTGGTGAAAATAAAAGTTATTTTTAGTATCCAAAAACACTTTCTTTCTTCAATGAAAGACACACAAGAAGCACAATTATTTTTCTTTTTTTTTTTTATTAAACTGCACTGCACTCACTTTTGTTTCCAGATGATATAGTATTATCCAGGAAGAGAAAGAAAAAACGTACGATAATTATAAATGGCAAACGAAATAAATTAACTTTCACGGCAAAAGTGATTAATTGATTTAATAAATAAACAAACTGTCTAAATGTAAAAATTTACAAAATTTGAAAAATATAAACATTAGAGAAAAATAAATTAAAAATTTTTTTTTCTCAATATTTAGAAATCTTTCTCTTTTGATAGTTAAGAATGATGATAATTTTATTGAAGGTCATGATTGTTGATAAAAAGAAATGTAAAAAGTAATTTTCGTGCAAAAATTATTGAGAAGGACGTTTCACTCGCGCACGTTAAAATTGTGACGGTTGAATAGTCGAGTTTGCCAACCTGCTTGAGAGGAAGCGATTGTAAGACTAAAGTCAAAGATTGGTAGCTGTAAGTGCATGCGTTTCTTATCCCTCCTGTCTCAGAAAGTCGTGAGTAGGTTTGCCTGGTGTCCCCTCTGTGTTGTCTTTTTTTCAAGAATCATGTTATAAAAGATTCCATTAATTTTTTTTTTTTATTTATTTAAAGATCGTTCAAGGATTGTGGGTCTAAAATTTTTCACATAGATTTTTTTTTCCCCCTGAAACTTGTATATATACTCTTTGAACTTGCAAGAAAATAACTGAAGAAATTCCACAGGATATTATCATTGCACACGTTCTTGTTGAGTTATTTATTTTATAACAGATGGAAACAATAAAAGCAGTTGTTTTCTATACAGGAATTGAAACGCATGAATAAGCTCTAAAATTAATTTGTTAGAAATTTTATTTGACTGAAATTCATTATCTCGAAATTACTTTTAGTCGAATTTTTATTTCTTCGAATTAGCAAATTTCACATATTACCATGGTAACGGTTGCTATGGTAACTGTTACCATGGCACCATACGAGTGTACGACGGACGGACGGACAGACGCCAAAGCGAAGCTATAAGGCTTTCGGATTGATTTTTTTTTTAATTATTTATATTTATTTGAAATTTGTTTTTAAATTAAATTCACCTTATAATTATAAGTTAAGTCAAATTGATAGATGTCCTTGAATCTGTAAATTAATGCCTTTTTACCAGTGAAGAAAGAACCGAAGTAAAAATGTAACATTTCTATTAAGAAAAAATAATATATATATATAAAGAATGTGATATGATCCGAGTATACATATACCGTCCTTCATAAGAGAAAACTGATCTATAATAAAGACTTGGGTCAGTATATACAAAATTCTATAATGAGAAAACCTATAATTATCGAACAGCACACATTGAATTTTATAACACCACTATAAAATTACAGCAGTATTATGGCATCATAATGATACTATCAAAGAACAATAAAGACCTTATTGGAATGAACATTACATCAAAAATTAGTAACAACTTCATTAATACACTTATGATTTTATAATTTCAATTTCTCAATTGAGAATTGAGATCAAGAATGTAGGAAATATTATTTGGTGATATAATTTTCAATAGCATTATGAAAGAAATTCTTTATTGAGTTTAGTTATTATTGTTATAATTATTAAATTTTTTTTGAATTTGTATTTATGGGGAAAGAATCAACGAAAAAAACTAAAAACTTCCAATAAGTTTTAATTTAAATCTATAAAAAAAAAAACCTGCTATACTTTTTTTTTATCTCGTTATCCTAAATTGCAAAATGTCAGAATGATGTGGGATTTATTAATAACTTGACATTAAGCAAGAATAGCTTCTTTAATTAAAAGAAAAAATATTTCTTGTGTTAAAGAAGGAATATTCTATATTTTTCACGAAATATCTATTAGGGGGTTATATTGTTTGGTCGTATATAAACCAAAGGACCGTTTTTTTAAATTGAAGAAATATTAAAAAAATTTCTAAATTTTTCCTGATCATTGCAGAAATCCTTTCTCTGAAAGCAGTTTACATAATAATAAATTGGATCTTCTTATAAAGAAAGGATGTCTTGGAACAGGAGAAAGTAAATTTTTTTTATTTCTGATTTGTTTTTCGTCCTTGAGAAGGATATCGAAACGTCTTACAAGTTTCAGGTGTAATATTCCGAATTTTAGACATTTTTATTTCGCATTTTATTTATCGGTATAAAAAATTTTTAAAAAGGGATGTGAGCTCCTGTTTTTATTTCTTAATTTCTTGTTTCTACAAAGTTTTCAATTGACTTTAGTGCCTAAGAAATTCATAAAGAATTTAAACGTTATTTTCGTAATTTTAAATTACATTAATAATATGGTAAGTGATTATTTTCTAAAATGCCATCATGCGTGCGACTCACATGCGTCGCATATGAGGACGCATCTGTTTATAGATTACCTACAGTATAAGATAACAATATAATAGGAAAAGAGATTTTACAAGAAGGGGAATTTGTTTCATTTAAATTTTATGTATAACTTTTGCAAAAATAGAAGTAATTCTTCTTTTTAAACATCATATTGGGATGGCAATTTTCAAGAAAAATACTTTGTTCCTAATTTTCAAGGCGTGGTTAGCTAGAAAGTGCGTTTACAATAATGTTGCAGCACAGAGGAAATTCCTTTCTTAACTCCACCTACTAAAACATATAAAATATTATGCATAAGAAATGCAAAACATATTAACTAGTAACGTATATATTTAATAATAAGCAACGCTAAGTAAATAATTCGAATCATTTGACTTAACGAGTAGCAAATCAGGCCCGGATTAATATGAAGGTAAACTAAGCAACTGCCTATATAAGTCCATATACTATGACTAAAAAATTTTTTACAAAAAGAACATTTCAAACAAATTCTTTTAGATATTTAAAAAATGTAACATTTTCGAAATTATAATAGATCTCAAACAACCGCTATTATTTATTGAAAAAAAATGTTTTGATATGCAAAAGATTTGATATGTAGCACTTTGTATAGAAATCATTTAGTACTTGATTTCTTGTATTGAAATCTTTATAAATACAGAATGTAGAGAAACTTCTTCAATCATATAAAATTGCATCATCATTTTTTGCACAAAAAAGTGAGAAGTCATTAATAGAAACAAAAATTTTTGCAAAAAATTAATAATCGACGTCTGCTCTTTGCACTTAAGTGATGGTTGTAAAATAAATCAATCAAAATCATTACTATATTTTGTAATATTTCAGAGTAAAAACTGTAATGATGAATCAGAATAGAACTGTAGAGATTAGTAATGTTAATTGAAATTTATGGTAGAGGATCTGCTTTTAAGTTCAAAGTAATTCTTAAAGAGTTAAGAGTATTTCTGATATTTTAGTGTATCTTTACTAATCTTTTTTATCTTTACACTTCGAATTTTAATTAAAAAATAAATAAAGATGATATTTTAAGAAAATTTTTTTAAATTTTTTTATATGCCAATTTTGTAATACTAAATTTGATTATTTCTTCAATTTTATTAGTCAAATATTTATTATTATGTATAAATGAGACATTGAGAGGTGTTTTTTCACTGATTCAGATTTGGAGAGTACGTAACATGCGTGTGCGTAAGAATAAAAATACGAAAGTATAACGAGTGCAAAAGGTCCGTTCCGAAATATTTCAATATAATGAAAGCAACTGATTATATGTGATAAAGTGAAGGTGTGGCCCTGTTCCGAATGAAATTTCAGCAATCACATTTAAAAAGCGACATTGAGACACAAAAATGCATACAGAAATCGCGATACGATCATTCGTATTGTCAAATACGGTGGAATGTTTTATCATTTTTATTTTATCGATTTCACTTATTTTTTAAAACTTTTTTTTTTAGTCAAACAACATTTTTTACTCCTTGATTTGGATTTTTTATTGTGCATCAAAATATCTCTTTCGAAACAAACTTTACATTTATGTATTACTAAATCTCAATTTTGAAGATTCAACAATAACAGGTTAAAAAAATGTCTTTAATTTGCACATTACTCGGAGGTTTTTGGGGTCGCTGATTACGAATCTGATATTAGTTTTTCAAAATTCAAAAAAATAATTAAGTTCTCTTCCTCATCACCCAGGAGGTGGAACATTAGATGCGCTCTTTAACGTGCTTCCCCATTGCACAGTTTGTTCAATTAAAAATTGAAATTATTAATTTTTTCAATTTGTAATTGAGGTCAAAATGTGCATTAGGCCTAACCACGCCTCAGTACAAAATATATTACTGTAATATTTTCAATATTACAGAAATATTTTTTTACTGCGGGAGACCTGAAAGAAAAACATATTTATTATTAAAACCTGAAATAGAAAAAATTATTATTATAGTAACCTGAAATAGAAAAAACATTTATTAGTAAAATCTGAAATAAATTCATCATTAGTAATAAGTAAGAAAAAAACATTCATTAGTAAAACATGTAAGAACAAAGCATTAATTATAAAAACATGTAAGGAAAAAATATGTATTATAAAAACATGTAAGGAAAAAATATGCATTAATAAAACATGTAAGGAAAAAATTCATTATTAGTAAAACCTGAAACAGAAAAAACATGTATTAGTAAAACCTGAAAAAGAAAAACATATATTAGTAAAACCTGAAAAGGAAAAACATATATTAGTAAAACCTGAAACAGAAAAAACATGTATTAGTAAAACCTGAAAAGGAAAAACATATTTTAGTAAAACCTGAAACAGAAAAAATATGTATTAGAAACCTGAAACAGAAAAAGCATGTATTAGTAAAACCTGAAAAGAAAAAACATTTATTAGTAAAACCTGAAAAAGAAAAAACATTTATTAGTAAAACCTGAAACAGAAAAAATATTTATTAGTAAAACCTGAAACAGAAAAAACATTTATTAGTGCAACCATGGTAGAAAAAATTCATGGCGCTAGGTAGCACTGCTAGGTAGCGCAATGAATTTTTTCTACCAGAAAACCTGAAAAGAAAAAAAATTCATTAGTAAAACCTGAAACAGAAAAAACATTTATTAGTACAAACATGGTAGAAAAAAATCATGGCTCTAGCTAGCATTGCCAGGTAGCGCAATGAATTTTTTCTACCAAAAAACCTGAAAAGAAAAAAATTCATTATTAGTAACCTGAAAAAAGAAATATGTTATTAGTAAACCTGAAAAAATTGCATTATTTATAACCTGAGACAAATGTTCGATTATACAGATATTTTTTTTAATATATATTAAAAAAGTAGAATTACTGTAATTAGTTATTTGTTCAACTAAATGACATGTTTCGAGTAAAAAAAATATATAATTTTTAGAGTTACTTAAAAAGGCGAAAAATAATTAATTTATTACAAAATTAATACATTAGTAAATTTTCGATTTCGATAAATTAGACCTGTAACATTACATTATTTATTATTAATTTTAATATTCATCACATTTTTTAACCACGTACTAAGGCTTTTTTGTGACCAGTCGTTTAGCTGTATCACTGCCTTCGCGTAAAACCGAATTTTTATGAAAAAAATGTTTTTTATAGCCTTACATTTTTTACCCACATAAATTAGGCATTTCTGTGACCAGTCGTTTAGCTGTAACTACCTTCGCGTAAAACCCGAAATTTTTTAAGAAACTCAAAAAATAAATAATCAAAATTTTCTAAAATTTATTATTGCACAGAAAAAAAGTTTCATCTGAAACAGCAAACGATTTTATTAGAATAGCAAAAGATTTAATTGAAATAATTAAAACTTTCGTTATTCCAATGAAACATTTCGCTTTTCCTAGTAAATTTTTTTTTATTCAAATAATCACGACTTTAAATAGAAATTCGTACATTTGTTCTCTGATTATAAATACTGACAGAAAAAAAAAGAAAAAAAAAAAAAAAAATTACTTCCTAAATAACTCGATCGCGGGTTTAAAGAATTTGCGAACACTCCCGGAAGCTAACACTGACTCGAAAAAATTAATAATTTTAATAATAGCTTCAAGGCGAATTTTTCAAACTAAATAGCCCTCGGAGATCCCTACTTTCAAGTTAAGTTTTCCATTTAGAAAATGGGAAAAATAACTGTAAAAAATAGACCGAGTTTTAATAAGTTTGAAAAATTATATGTATACTACAAAGATAAGATACCCTTTTTTACTTTCGCCCTTATCATTGAAGTATGTAACACCATGAGCCATTCGAGGAAAAAAGACATGTGGTCACACGTCAAAAATATTCAAAATTCCCTAAATATTACTCGATCGCGGTTTTAAATAAAATACGAAACACTCCCGAAAGCTAAAACACTGATTTTAAATAATTAAAAATGTTAAATATTAATTTTCACAAACACGTGGTCATCAAATATTCAAACGCCCAAAGATAACTTGCGTAATTGAACCGTTGTGTATGACCGACGCTAGAGAAATGATGCCACCCCTTTAAATTGATGAAGCACAAAAATGAATTTGAAACCACGTGGTCGTACAAAATTTAGACGCGCGAGGATAATTTTGAATTTTGCACCAATTACGTTTAAGATATGGCGGGGATGTGAAAATGCAAGACTGAGAGGGTAGAAAAGCGTCTATTGTTTTCTCTCTCTCTTATTTATCATTACATTAAATATTATAATATTTAACATTAAATATATAAATTAAACAAAAAAATATTTAATTTTTTAATTAGAATGTATATAAACATAATATTAAAATATAATAATCGAAAATATACATTTTCAAAAAAATTATCCCCACCATTTCAAATTCAATAAGAGTGAGAAAGATAGAAGAAGACGCACGCCTGATTTTCGTGCGACCACGTGACAAAATTGGCGCAATTTCATTTTAATTAACTTTAAATATGACTTTTATAATTTTCATGAAATCTCTTTAAAAGATGGGTAAGATTTTTTATCTAATAACCCAAAAATTAAAATTTTTTCTTTTTGATATAGCTATTAAACGGAGATTTTGCTTGTTATAGAAAAATGCAACTGAAATAAATTATTTTTTTCTAAGGATCAAAGTATCTATATTTAAATGATTGACGTATTAATGAAATTACTCTATTTCTTAAAATAGATGATTTTTTAGTTCCGCTTTTATAGACTCATAAATAAAAAGAGATCCTTTTCTGTATTAGGTCCGGGTCCTTGAACTGACATCAAATGACCACATTCTCTAGTTTCTACTTTTTAAGTTTATAGCTCAATTCAGAAAGCCGGATCTCAAAAAATATTTTTGACAAAATATAAAAATAAAACAAAAAAATCTTCATTTAATCTAATTTCAATTTGAACTCATCGTCATTCATCCTTTCCATCACAGAAAATTAAAAGGAATTAAAATAAGCTGCAACGCTTCTTATTTTTATCCAATTTTGCTTATTTTAATCCATTAATCCATTTCATCTAATCTTAATCGAACCTAATTCTTAGCATAATATATTTATTTGCCCTAATTCTCACTTGGCCTAAACTTCATTTGTCACCCGATCAGACATAATAAATTTCAAAAACTACCTGTTTGTAAAAGGTCGAGAGCAAATGAAAAAAAAATTGTTAATCCTTGGAAGTTGAAGAAAGTTTAAAATGATTTATTTTCAAGATTATTTAACGATGTCCTGCTCTGAAGGATTTTTGTTGTTCATTAATTTGATTTTAAATATGAATACAAAGAGTCTTCTGCTTTAGTTTAAAAAATATTTCGAAATTTTTAATATTGTTCTCAAATATGAAGGCAGTATTATTGAGTGTTTTGACATTGGAATGATTTAAATTTTTATTCACTTTCTAGGATCTGCAAAGTACAATTTGATAGACGCAATTAATGCCGCGAGGCAGGAATTAATACTGAAGAATTATTTTACAGCATTTAACACTCATGACCATTAAGAAATTGTTACTTTTTTGCACGTATTACTCTTCAAAGTTGATGGATATTTTGCGCAAGGCGTATCATCCTTATTATATTGTTTTTATTTGAAAATAAAACGATTTTTATGATTTCTAGAAGCTATTTCACAACATAATTATGTGTGTCGAATTTAATTTCTTTAAAGCTTAGGTTTCAACAATGAAATTAATATAAAAAAATTTATTCCAAGTTATCATAGTTTGAAAACTTTTCAATGAGCTCAAAAATTCCCGACCTGAATCTGATGCTTTTGAATGACTACAAAGCTTTCTTCACGAGGAAGCAAAAAAACAATAAAAATTTACCAAAGAAAATTTTTTTCGAGATAAATCATGAAAATGCATTAAATTTTGAAATCATGATACAATTCAGTAAACCACGCCTACAACCGGGAGGGCTACCTTGAACCCCAGCACCTTTGCAACACATATAAGAACGTTCTAATTAGTTCCTATACCTTTAGATAGGGTAAAAGGAGTAATATAGCGCGAAGGACGACTGATAGATAATCATTCTGGATAATATTCTCAATTATAGAATTACGGACTCATTGTTTACATATGTGATTTTTTTTTATTTCAAAATCTATTCGCATCATTTTCAAATTTTATGTAATTTCAATTTGTATGTCTAGAAATGTAACATTTCAATATACATACAAATATATTATTCATCATGAATGATTTGGAATTTTCTGTAACAAAATACGATTTATGAGTGTAACAGCAGTTAAAAGATAAAGTTGCAATAGGAGAGTATTTATGAAAATCCAAGTTGTCTAAACGACGTAAAATCAATTCAGTGGCTTTCGGCGACTGCTAACAGCCTACGTTCTTTTTGCTAATGCTTTGTTATCATTTGTTCTGCGAACGATATAATCACCGGTTACGTGAAACTGTTTGTTGGGTAGGCAGTTGGCCAAGACTTTTACTTGAACCAATCGGCAATGTTTGCCGGTAGTTTGCAATAGACGCTCTAGTTTCGATAAAAGGCCATTGAGCAACCGATAATGACCAAGGCGAAGTTAATGCAAACGACTACCTGAGAACAATTTTGTACGCGCGACATCTTTTTAATTTATTTAGGTATATGGAAAAAGCATTATCTTTATTTTACATAAGAAAGCCCGAAAATTTGCAATAATCATCAGAAATAAAATTTATATCTTTCAATCTGAACTTTTTTGCTTCAATTTTTGAAATTAGATTAATTTAAATTTTTAAAATAACATTAACTATTCTAATTAAACATTTCAAGTTGTGTTGCTACGTTCGTAGAAAAAAAAGGACTTACGAATCGTGAAATACCTCTTATTATTAGCTGATGGTAAAAATCATCAAATTAATAAAATTCGAGATGAGAGGTGGTTATCTGTTTTGTCATCCACAAATTTTATTATTGTAAAATCTTTTGTTTATTTTTTGAAAACATTGCTGTATGGTAATAATACCAAATTTGTATTTGTCTTTAGAAAATTTATTATTTTATCCTTTTCATACAAAATTACCTTAAGATTAAATTAATTTTTTTGATTCCAAAATTCCTTTATAGTGCGCTTCGTATTGCTTATGTTAATTCGTTTACTGGACATCATTTTTTTTTCTTACAAGTGGTGCATTTTTATCTTTTAAATCAATTAAAACCTGCAAAATTAATTGGAAATTAGATATCTACATATTTGAAATAAAAAATAAATTCGAAGAAATATAAAAGAATAAAAAATTCAGTAAACATTTTACAATATCTACCTGTATATTAAATTTATATTTATACTTACCTTTCCAGACGATTTCGTATCAGTAACCGACTTCATTGCCTCATTAATTTTGTAAAGACCTACTATTAATGAGTAAGATGGTTTGATAAGTCCTTCTTCAAAATGAGATAAGACTTCCTCACCAGCTTGGCTACGAAATAAAATGTATTATATTTATCGATGAGACATTGAAATTACAAACCCTGCCTCTTACCGGTATAATTCATGGTTGTTCTTCCGATATTCTCGAAGGTTGATTCCCGTGACGCTGAAACCACTCTCTTTATTATCATTTTGCGATTCTCCTTTCGTTTCGGCAACTCCAGCAACGACCAGTTTTCCTTTTAAAATCGAATCTTTATTTTAACAATTCTTACAAAAAAAATATTCTATTTTTTACCTTCACGTGATAAGTACTGTACTACGGTGGCAAAATTATCATCCCTCAGCATATCCTTCGACAATGTTTTAGTCTTATAAATATTGGTAAAACTGTAATTGCAATTTTAATATAAAATATATTATTAATATACCAAAAATTAAATAATATTTCACACAAACCAATGTAACATATTTTTGAAACGTTCCCCTTCATTGTCTTCGAAAATATCATGAATATTTAATTCTTTAGCAATTTCTTTAATCTGACTTATTAATTTTTTCTCGCTATATTTAAATGCAGCGAATGCTCCTTTCTCTTCTCTAACCAAATTTGCTGTTTCTTCAGAAGCACAAACTGCAATTGCCTAAAAAAAATTATCTCTCAGTAATTTATGTTTGGAAAAAAAGTAGTTAATATAAAATAAAATAGAGACGTATTAAAAGAAAGAAAAATAATAAATGAAAGTAAACCTTTGTTCTATAAACGTTTGTGGCAACATCGACGGCCGCAAGACCTGCTCCTCTCAATCCAACATTAATTAATGCTGTATCATTTTCTTCAAGTGCTCCGCATTGTTCAAATGCAATTAAAGCAGTCATGTAATTTTCCATCAAACTAACGGCATCTATTGATTTAATTGATGACGGTACTCTCCAAATATCCTATAATTTATAATAAAATAAAAAATAATTATAAAAACTAAATTATTTAAGAATCCTATAGAAACTACAAAAACGCCACAAGAAAAATATTTACGTTAACTTGGCATTATTTTGTAAATATAAAATTTAAAAAAAGGAAACATACGCCGACTTCAACAACGCATTGTTCAGAAAATCCTCCAAAGCGTTCTTTACTCAAAGCAACAACTTTGTCGTTGACTTTGTAACCAGCTGCCTGAGCCTCTGCTCCGACTTGAAGAAGCTTTCCAACTAGCTCATATCCGAGAACAAAAGGCGGATTCAATTTGGAATTGTAAGAATTTTCACTGAGAAGAACATCTGGTCCATTACAAGCACAATAACTTACGTCAATAAGTACCTACGCAGAAATTTCCCAATTTATAATTTTGCAAATTAAAATTAAAATTTTGCCACACACCCTGAGCTAAATCGGCCGCGCCTAGTTTTTAAACTTGGATTTCATAAATAGAAATTTTATCGAATCTTTATTTGTGAATATTCAAAAAAGTGGAAATTGCAATGGAAGCTTTCTGCAAGGTTGTCACAATACGTGCTATATTACTCATTAAACTTCAAGTAAATTAAACGTTTATGTTCTCAGTAAAAATTCTTGAGAAATCATATTTCTTCAAATTATTGTTTTAAACTATTCAATACTTTCAAATCTATAAAATATAAGCAACAACAAAATTTAAGTGCACATTTAAGCTTGTTGCAGAATGCAACCTTTAAAAATGACTGTGAATTATATTTTTAACAATGTCAGCACTAAACAATTCCAAACTAAATTATCTTAAAGTTTAAAACGATATTTTTACGTTGCTTCAAATTATTATCATTTAAAAAATATTAACTTATCGACAAACGAGCAAATAAAAATTTTCAAATTAATAATAAACAAAATTTTAAATTTAAATTATTATTTTTTAAGTGCTTTAAGTAACAATATTTTATTTAATAGTTGTCTTTCTAAAATACTTCAGAATTTCATAAATTGGTTGTATTACACATAACCGTTTATTTACTTTGACGATGTTAAAAAATAAATATTAAAATAGACCGCAATTACTTTAGGTAAAATGTAATGAATTGACCTATTTACAATATTTATATACAATTTAGTAACATTAAATATACTTCACTCTTGTCAGAACGATATTTGAATATGCATGTATTATTTGATCATCAATATACGTATATCAGATTATTAAATGATAATTAAAAATAAATTTACCTCATTTGATTTGATATTATTCACTGGTTCAATATTTTCAATAACTAAAGGTGAGGAATATTTTTTAAGAATAGCAGTTTGTATCATTCCCGGTATGGGATCAGGAATAGCATTTGATGAATTAGAAACATGTTTTTTTTCAGCAACATTTTCACTAAATTTACATGTGACAACACATGGCACTAAATTTTTAATATTTTTTAAACAAAATCTCGAAATTAGTTGTTGTCCTAATACTGACATTATTAATTAAATATTATCTTGAAAATATTTTTATTCCGGAAAAAACATAACCTATAAATCAAAAGAAAACAAATTGTAATTGCAACACGATAAAATTTTTAACAAACACTTGGATTATTTTCCATTAGTTTTTAATAAATTTTTAAATTGGAAAAACATTTATATTTCCAGTTCATTTCCTAATTTTTATTTGTAATATTCCTTTCAAATATATTTATCGTTTTATTTATGTTGAAAATTAGGTTGAATTCACATGAAGGCGTCAACCAGGGTTGGATCGTTGGATTATGCGTAATGCTGCTTCCACAATAGCTAAATCGCAATAGTCTATTCTGTAGGAAGTGCTATAGTTTGACGGTCTTACTTGAAAAATTATTCTAAAATAACTGTTGAAAAGCTTATTTAATTAATTCATTGTCATTTTCATGTATAATAATTACATAATTTTCATTATAATAAACTAAGGAATTTAAAATTAACCGCGCATTTTTCTGTCATCGTTGAAAGATTTGATTGGTTGAGAAAAACTGTCCCGAGAATAGTCGAAACTAGCCGAAGACCCCGAAGTGATAGAATGACGTCATGACCAAGCAGAAACGATAAGATAGTCGAAAATCTAAAACTGTCTCTCTTTTCTTGTTAAAACATTTTGTGACTTTTAAAAGTTGTTTAAAATATCAAAAATGTCTTATGCATACCTTTTCAAGTATATTATTATCGGCGATACAGGTTAGTTTTTAATTTACATAAAATAATCAACATTATTCGTCTGTATTTAAATAATTCTTATTACGTCTTTTCTGACAGCTCTCATTGTTTTCGTTCCGTTTCATGAATTTTTACCTTATGCAGCATTATATTTTACGCATTTGTCTCACGATTGTTATTATTTCACTCTAGTTATTAAAATTTTCATTGATTCTCGTAAATTTTTATCACATTTAATTTGTTTATTTCGAAAAAAAATAAGCCAATATTATAAATTATAAATGGCAGATGTTTTTTTTTTGAGAGAAAATCAATTTGTTTTCCTAACAGTTAGAGAAGGGAACAAATCGTGACATGAATTTTGTATGTGTACATTTTCTACAAAAAAAAATACGGGAATATAAATTTTTAGAAAAAATATATTTAAAAATTTTAAACATATTTTCAAAAATATAAACTTTTGAGGAATAAAATCATTTGATGTACTTAATTATAAATGTTTTTTTAAATTTTTTTTTAGGAGTTGGAAAATCTTGTCTTCTTCTACAATTCACAGACAAACGATTTCAACCTGTTCATGATTTAACAATAGGCGTTGAATTTGGTGCTCGTATGATTACCATTGATGGAAAGCAGATTAAGTTGCAAATTTGGGATACTGTAATTATTTCTTATATATAATTAATTTTTTGTCATTGAATTTTATTTAGTTAATGTACTTTTCTTCTAAAGCTAATTTTATGTTATTTTATTAATTAAAAATATTTATTTATTTATTTATTAAATACAGGGGCGTAGGCATAAATAAACGGGAGGGATTTTATGAAGGCTCAGGCCTTAAAAATCTTAAACTTATATTGAAAGATCCTGATTAGAAAATTTATTAATTTTATTTATTTATTTAGAAATTTATAGTTAAATTATTTTTTCGATCAATTTTAATTATCTCTTATCAACAATGGATCAAACTATATTATAAATTCCCTTTTTTTTCCTTGTAAATTTTAATAAGATTAATATTTAATATGATAATAATAGAATTTTAATGATATATTTTTTAATCTGTGTATAAAAATAATTAACACCCGTAGGCTGGTCAAGAAGCTTTCCGTTCTATTACGCGATCGTATTATCGTGGAGCAGCTGGTGCACTTTTGGTTTATGATATTACACGTCGAGAGACATTTAATCATCTCACAACGTGGCTTGAAGATGCAAGACAGCACTCCAATTCAAATATGGTTATTATGTTAATTGGCAACAAGAGTGATTTAGATTCACGAAGAGAAGTTCGAAGGGAAGAAGGCGAGGCTTTTGCACGTGAACATGGTCTTGTTTTTATGGAAACAAGCGCAAAAACTGCAGCAAATGTAGAAGAAGCATTTATTAATACGGCCAAAGAAATTTATGAAAAAATACAAGAAGGTGTCTTCGATATTAACAATGAGGCAAGTGAATTTTCTTTTTAATAATTTAAATTGTCTGACATTTATTTTTTGCAATTAAAATTTCAAGGATTTATTTTCAGTTCTTCATTTTTAATATTTAAACACTACAAAATTTATCTGACTGAATTTTCTCCATAATTCGTTCTATGAAAATTTACATAAAAATAGTGAAAATTATTATTTACCCCTCGCCCCATTCACGAACTCACAAGTCTCCCCTATTATTAATGGAAATCACGTTCTGTAAACACAATTCCATTTTTATTTTTTGAACATTAAATATTTCTTCCCTCTTTATATTTTTGTTTTCAAAGTATTTTTTAAAAATACTAATAAATATATTTGATTTAATAACTATCACAACAATTCTACTTTAAATAATATTTAAATTTTATTTTATTAAATTTAAAAAAATAACAAATATCTTTAAAATTTTGAATTATTTAGGCAAATGGCATTAAAATTGGACCTCAACATTCTCCAACCAGTCCCGGTGGAATAGCGGGTTCCGGTGGACAAGGTAGTGCACAAGGAGGTGGTTGTTGCTAGGGGTTGGGAATTGCTTGTCCACCAATTCATCCTTCAATAATTTGAACTGATCATCTCATTCCTGCTCTTCGTTTTTTTTATCCCTGACTGCTTAAGATTTGTACATTTCGTTTTTTTGGTTCGTATTTGTTCCGAAGCAGTGAACAGCGAAGGAAATATTTATTATACTTTTAAATATTTACACTTTATTGAAGTAGGTAAATATTATCGAACAGGAGTGTTGTACATCACACTACACGTATGAAATAAAGACTTAATTTACAAGTTTATATAATTATCGATTATAGAATGAAGGAAAAAGAAAAAAAAAACTAACATTCTCGCTAGCAGTTGACGAATTTAGTTCATCATAGCTCAAAGCGAAGATGTAAATTAGTTTTAAGTTTACAAATTGTAAAACTGTTGCTAAAAACAATTGTCATTTCACAATTTTAGTAAAGTCATTATCGACTCTAATTTTTTAGTGAATCATGAAAAATAATAATTTTTAGAAAAATTCCTAATCATCTGTAATAACAGATTTATGTCTTTTTTAAATTACAAATTTCACTAGCATCATTGTGCATTTTCGAAGAGTTTATTGCTCATAATTTAGTGACAGGTGAAATATAAATTTAGCAAATTACAAAGATCATATATTACAAATATATAATATATATTCATATATAAATATATTCTATTTGTATATAATTGTATGAAAAAATTCATTTTCTCGCTTGAAAGAAAAAATTACGCGGACTGATTTTCGAGCAGGAATGTTAGTTCAAATTTATTCATTAACTCAACATTATGTATATGTATGTACTATTGTTCTGTCTCAAAATAACGAACATACATTAAAAAACGATTATCCAGTCGATTTAATGTAGAAGCCTAATTACCGCTTAAAAAAATGAATGTTAAAGTTTAAATGAAATATATAATTAAACTTTATGGTATTAGGCTTCTTGCATTTGGAATCAAAAAAAAAAAAATTAATTTTTCTCATACATAAAATTTTACCTTCCTACAAAAAATTTGATCTTTATTTTAATTAAAATACGACTTATTGTTTATTTTTAATATTCCACTGACTGGATTGAAAAAAATTATTTACTTTTTTTTTAGATAAATTAGCCAATTAATCTTGTGTATGTTTGTCGAATTTTTAAGTGTAAATTTTTTTGTTTTACATAGTGTTGTGCAAAAATAATTTTTTGCTTCGTATTTTCCATGCAAAAGTATGACGTTTTAAAACAATAAAAAATAATTTTTAATTGTTTTTAAATACATAATGTAATTTTAGAAAATTATTTCTTTTTTTATTTCGAATTTTTTTTTTCGATTGTAAAATTTCGTGTGATGTTAATTGGTAACATTATACTTTTGTAACGAGGGTGCGATATGGTCAGTATCATTAATAGTCACTAGTCAATGAATAACAAAATCGTTATTCCTCATTGCAACAAAAACTTATATACCATGAATTGTATAAACTTTTAGTAATATAAAAAAATAGAGCTAACGAACATAAATGATTTTTTTTTTACATTTTAATTATGAAATTATACTTTATGAAACAATATTATCACTCCACCATCTGTATTCAGGAATCTCAATCTTTATGTGAATCGGAATATTTTTTTTATCAGTGAATTTATGTAATTTTATTATTAAGTAATATACGTTCATTTTTGCAAAGTGCACTTTAATTGTTTTACTATAGTCAATTTTTGTGTGTAAACAATTTTAATAGTTTTTTTAAAATTCTTTTTCTTTATTAGAAAAAATCGTTTTTTTCGCTCTTTTTTTTAAACAAAAAATCGGAAAAAATACATATTTTAGCAGGGTTTCTACAACTCATGGAATTTCATTTTGATTTATGAAATTTTTGTTTAAATCATGGAAATTTATTTTCATTCACTTTCTAATATATATTCGTACCTATTAATTAGGTATATAATTAAATTTACTTTTAACCGATATTTAAATTAATTAAATTTAAATTTGACCATATAAAAAAACTTAATTATTTATTTAAGTGAATTCTTATTTTTATATTTAATCAATTTGTTATTTAACAGAATTTTTGTTTTATTGAATTTTCTATTATGTTTTTATAATTTTTCTTTAATTACATTTTTTTTTACATTGAAAACTTTTAAATTTGAAAAGTGCGCCAAAAACTTCTTCTTAGGCTGCTTCCACAATAGCTAAGCAACGTCTTGAATATGGTTGGTTTCCATAATAATTCTCGTCAACTGCCGCACCCTGTCTTATAATCATAACCAAGAAACAAAAAAGACATGGGAAATGATCTCCATGAACAATAAGAAAATGAAAAGTAAAAATGCAAAGTGTTGATGAATTTAAAAAAGTCATTGGGCGCAAGAATAAGAAAAAGTTAAAATTTAATACAAGTCAAGAAAATTCACAATATTTAAATTTAAAAGCAAATATAAGTCCTGACAACCTCATTCGGTATGTAACATTTACAATATTATATGAATTAGAGTTGAGAAAATTGTTTTTAATTTTATACAAGATGTATTCTTTTAATTTAAATTAAAAGAACATTCTCTTGAATGATATTCGTATTCGTATTTGTATAAGGATTTAAAAAATGTTTTTATTCGACCGAATAATTTTTTACTGCTTGTTACATTTCTCTTCGGTTCATCTTATTTTTTAGCATACCTTGCGTACTTTTTTAACGTGAGTTCTAGGGATTTAGTCCCTTAATTACTAAAATTCTTCATTAATTTATCATTCAAAAATTAGCATTAACAATTTTATGACTATTATTTTAAGTCAAAAATAATTTAACTAACCATTAGTTCTTTTTTCAGTATTCTTCTCGCTGCTGTTGTTGTTTTGCAGAAATCTCCATTTAAGGAGAGCATTTTTAACATTTTATCAAAATCATTAAGCATTTTAAATTCAAACACAATTGGAGAAGTAATTTGCTATGGATTAGGTAGTTTTAGTCAATATAGATCATCAAAATATCAATTGGCAACTCTTATTCTAATTAAAAATCACTATAATTGCAAAATATCAGTGTCTGATCCCGTTTTCACTAAAACTGAACTTGAAGTTCTAAACACGTTGGAATTAAATGTTATTAAAGAAAATGAAGAAGGTAAACGAGTTATAACTAATAGTTTACCAACACTCATTTTTATGCCACATTGTCCCAGTCAATTGTTAAACAACTTTTTATTTTCCAATTGGACTCAACAATTAAAGAATTGTATTATTCTTTGTAACAGTTGGTCCGAAGTATTTGAACAAAATCCTCTTTCATTCTTGACAAATGAAACAAATTATATTTCTCGAATTAATCCTTATGTAGTTGAAATTGAATTAGAAAGTAATGTAGAATTTATGGAAATATTTAATTCAACGTCTTCTCATGTATTTCCAAAATTATGTGAAACTTCAATAAATTTTTGGCAGCCAAATGAAGAGCCAATTTATCCAAATGAAAGCACTGAATTTATCAGAAAGTGAATTTTTCATTATTGATAAACTTGACTATTTTTTACAGAGGCGCTAATTAATATCAAGGTATGCTAATTATTTTCAAACGTTAATTTAAAATTTTTTTTAATATTAAAAAAAATCCAAAACTTTTATTTTACCATAAAAAGTGGTTACAAAAAAAAAATTAGAAAAATCTTACCAACTTTATTTCAAAACGAAAATTAGTAATAATTTTTTCTTTACTTTCATTACCAAATTAAACATGACTTTTTTCTCTTTTCAGAAAACAATAAAAATGAACAGCGAATTAAAACTAATACGTTCACTATTGCAAACAATAAAGGATACCTCCCAGTGGAAGACCCTTGGCGATAAACGAATGGTACAATATATTATGAAAGAGTCACGTGTTCATAAAGAAACATGTGAAATTTATTGCAAAGCTCGCGAAGAATTAAAAACTTTAGCTGACAATTATTTGCTTTATCTCACGTCACGTCAAAAATATGAAGATATTCAAAGGCAATTTGGTGGTAAAGGTGAACGCAGTGTTGAAGAGGTTGCTAATTTAGTTGGTTTCAAATTACCCAATAATCCAAAATGAATTGTTTATTTTTTAATATATGTAATATTGTAAAAAATTTATAACATATATACATGAAATATAGTGGAGTTTATTACATTCAATATTTATTTAATTAATCCCAAAATATGATTTTTTTTTTTTGATGAATTCTTGATAATTCTCCTTCATAAGGATATATTATTACATTTAATTGTATATTTTTTGTTTCATTCACTAATATTATCTTTATATTAAAGATATACTTTAATTGAATATATTGATTTATAATACAAGTCTTTATTATATGATTAATCATTTACTTAAATGGTAATACATTTCTAACAATACTCATCAAGACGTTAAAGGTGACATTCCGATAGTTCTTGGATCTTGTTGATTAGCTTGCGTAGAAGCTTGTTGAGCAGAAGGACCTGTCTGTGGACCAGTTTCTAAATTCTTTAAAAGTTCATTTAACCAGTGCTCGGTAGATATGTCTTCTTGCAGACAAGTTGCAAATGTATTGTCTCTCAATTGATCAGGTAAACATTGCCGCAAAGCCAATAGAGCTCTGTAGAAAAAAAATTTTGAAAATTAAAATTTGCTCAAAAATCCCACTTTTTTTTTTAATTGTCTTCATAGTAAAGAATATTTTACATAAGATTAAAACGTGTAAACTATTAGTATAAAAATAAAAATTTACCTTGGATTATCAGATAGACGAAGGTAGCATCTTACAACGTGTTTTAGCAAACGTGCAGAAGGATCTTTTGCCAATGATAACACCATTTTGCCCAAAATCATTGCGACATGACTGAATCTGTCGTACGTTTGACAAATATAAGAAAGTCCACTATCATCTAATAATATTTTTTGTAATATAAATGTTGCGACAGTTTTACACAATTCTGATCCACTTTCCATGATTCGTAAACATAATGGTATAATTTCAGTGGTTAATAAAAATGTAATTACTTCTTGTTCATCTGTTTTTACTAATGCACCAATTACTCCCAAACTAGTTAGTCGTAAATATTCAAAGGGACGTGTTTTTATCACTGTATGCAAAAAAGGATACAAAAAAAGAGGGATATGAGCCTGCAAAAAAATAGTATTTTTTTTTTAGATATTTATATTCTCTCATTTCAGAATATTTTACCAAAAGTATCAAGAGAATATTTACCTGTAAAAATGCAGATCTTGTATCAGGATGACTGGCAAGGCACTGTAATAATGCTAAAGCATTACAAACACGATTACTTTGATGTGCGGTTAATGTTGCGGGATTTATTGCCGGATATATATTAATTATTTCTTGAAGTAAAGATGCTGCAATACCAAAAGAATGCCAAAGCATTGGCGCTAAATCCGGTACAACTTCACGCTTTTTACTAAGCATTTCCAGGGCATTTCCTCTTGTTTCAGGATTTGATAACTCAATAATCCAACCATAAATTTTTTCGCGGTCAACGCTAGCTTGCAAAGTAGCCGGACTTTGTTGAGTACTCATTTTTCACGAAACTATTAGTCACAATTTTATAATTTAAACATCACCAATTGAGAGTTAGTCAATATTCAAAGTAGGTATATCTCAATAGAAAACACAATTAAAATTTAGAGGCATTATTTAATATTAATTACTGGAGTTAAAATATTTCAAGTTTTAATAACAAACAGCAGCTGATTTAAAAATACAGCCAGGCTTGGAATGGCACGTTATTGACGATAGATTACGTAACTTACGTATAATCTTGTAAAGAAAAAAGAAATGTAAAGCTGCTTTCACAGCAGCTTTTTTTTATTACACACGCAAGGTTCTGAAGTCGCGTAACTTTCGTAAAATACGTATATTATACAGTAAAAATTATTTTCATTTTTCCACTTTATTTACAATTTTTAAGATCATCATTTAAAAATATAATTAATTCAATGAAAAGTATTTTTAGAAATTGAGCTATTAAAAATAAAAGTTAAATCGCGCGCCAATTTGCGCAGAATGATATGCGCAAAAGATTAATATTTTTGGAAGCTTCCAAATTTGCTCAACAAATTTTTTTTATATAAAACTTATTTATTAAATAAAATAAGATATTTAACCAAGTTTTTATACAAGAAAAAAATTTGTCAAATAATAAAAACAAATTAATTAACAGCAGTAAACAATTTCAAAAAAGAATTGTTTAATATCGATGAAAAATTGACTGCCAGCAGTATGAAGTTGTCACACTTAAAATTTTAAAACTGGAAATTTTTTTCTTTTTTTGTTAATTTGAAAGTTACTATACGAAATTATAAAAATAAAAGAAGAGACGCATGAAAATAATATTATTATCGTTCTTTCTTTTTTTATAAAGTCAAGAATAATAATAGCAATTTCGCAAATAGCAGACTACATTTTGCAAAAATTCTGAGAGGGAAGGAAGAGTGAGACGATTGGAAAGGGTGTGAGAAGGGGGGATGTTTTGCCACCACTGCTTTTGCGGGTTAGGAACATCGTGTGTAACTTAAGTGGATTGCCTCGAAAACATTCCTATAAACATTTATAATTCAATGGAAATTGGTGATTGCGAATTGTTTTATGTTTGAATTGAATAAACATCAAATAAGTGTGAAATAAGAACAAAAGTGGGCAGCTGCCATTAAAGCAGCGCCATACTCAAACAACCGCGCAGTGTGTGTATATGTGTATGATGTGCGCGACGCGCGATCAAAAATGAGACTCTAAAAATTCGCGGATAAAAACGTGTGTGTGTAAATTATATTAACTAATTTCCAAAGTAATACAAATTTAACGCAATAAAAGACAAGTGATTTAAAAATAATTCGAGACGTGGACAAGCGAAGCAATCGCGCCGGAAACAGGAAGCCGAAAAAGAGGCCACGACGAGATTGGAACAAACGACGGGATGAGTACGAAAAACGATGTGAATAGAAGAGTTTTGGCAATTCAGGCGAAGAAAAAACGACACAAGCCGGTGAAACGAAAGGGTAAAGGTCCACAAGGCGATCAGGAGAATCCCGGTGCCCAATGTTCAAAAGCATCAAACTCAAATCAAAATCAAGACAGTCGAGGGCAAAGACAGAATTCCGGTGGCAACGGGCACAGGTAATTTTATTTTTTTTTCTCCTCACCTGCTACTTATTTAATTGAAAAATAATGTTTTCCTTGTTTTTATTTCTTTGTATAAAAAAAAGGGAACGTTTTTTTAAAAGATCTTTAACTTGCAATTTATTGCGTTTTTTTTGCTTTGCGCACGCCGTTAACAAACCTAAATGTGTCACCATTAATTCTTTGAAAATTGTTAACCTCTTGACACTTGATTTTATGATAAATTTCGCGTTTTATATTAAACACGAAATATTTACAATTTTCCATTTGTTCTTAGTTTATAGTTGTTTTAATTACTGTCAATGTTTCTTAATTATTTAAACAATTTTCTGTTTTAATGTATTTCTATATATATTTTTCTATTGTAACTTCCATTTTAATTTCCTTGTTCTAACTTTTGTCTTTTAATTTCCTATTATTACTTTCCTTTTATATTCTAGATTTCTTTTTCTAAATTCTAAAGATTTCCTTTTATTGTCATTTCGGATATAATAAAAACACGTTCGATTCATTTTATTGCTTATTTTACTTTTTTTATTAAATAAATAATTAAAGAAATTTTATTATATTTACCTCGCGCAATATATTTAAAATTGCCATTATTTTAATATTTATGTAAAATTAAAATATTGGAGCAATTTTGCCAACATTTCTGTAAGTTTACATGGGTATTTTCAATAAAAAATCGAGATTGTATTGAAAAACCACATTGTAAATATAATAATTTATTTATTTATTTGTTTGTATTTAAAAACCATATTGTAAACTATTTGTTTATTTATCGTTTTCCTTTTAAAAAAAACTTTCTAGAATCATTTTATTAAATTAAATACTTGAAAATTTTTCATTCAGTGTAAATGCAAATGAAAAATAAGTTTTATGTAATTTTTTTATATAAATACAAAAATATAAAGTTATGTAATCAATCGTAATATTTTGCTTCATCAGGAATTATAAGAAAGAATTGATGAAAATTTATATTTAATTTATAAATGTAGAGAATATATTTTCATTCGATGAACATTCTATTTGAACAATCCTTGTGATTATTGAATTACAAGTTAAATGTAAATAAAGAAGAAGAATATGTTTATTATTATTATTAGATATTCTATACTGTTGTTATTTTCTTTAGTATTATTTTCATTTATTTATCAGATTAATAAATATAATATATTATAGTAATATAATATAAATTAATTAATAATTAATTTAAATAAAAAATGAATATGTAAAAATTAATTATAATTTTTCTTGCTTAAATTATAGATTAAATGCCAGCCACAGTTCAAGTAATGAGACAATTGAAGACGACGATGATGTTTACAGCAGTGAGGAAGAAGAACAAGAAGACAGCAGTGATTATTGCAAGGGAGGTTATTATCCAGTCAAAATAGGAGATTTGTTTTTAAATCGCTATCACGTCACGCGCAAACTTGGTTGGGGTCATTTTTCCACTGTGTGGCTTTGCTGGGATCTACAGGTAAAATACTTTAAATTCGAAATTTTGTTTTCGTTTAAATTATTAATAAAACAAAATTGTTTTTGTATTTTTATTTCAATAAGTTGGTTATTTTTCGAATAAATTGTGATTTAATTTAATTATCTATTTTTCCTTTTTTTTTAAGGACAAACGATTTGTAGCCCTGAAAGTGGTCAAGTCGGCATCACATTTCACGGAAACTGCACTTGATGAAATCAAGCTTTTAAAAGATGTTCGTGACACTGATCCCAGTGATCCAAAACGCAACAAAACCGTCCAATTACTACATGACTTTAAGATCAGGGGCATCAATGGATTGCATGTTTGTATGGTTTTCGAAGTACTTGGACACAATCTACTTAGACTCATTATTAGATCTAATTATCGAGGGATTCCAAGAAATAATGTTAAGCGAATAATAAGACAAGTTCTTGAGGGTTTGGATTACCTTCATAATAAGTGTAAGTTATCAATTAATTGAATTTAAATTTTCAATATATATATTTTAATATAATTATTGAATGTGATTTTACTTTTTCATCAGGTAAAATAATTCACACGGACATAAAGCCTGAGAATGTTTTAATTTGCGTCGATGAGTCCTACATAAGAAAATTGGCTTCCGAAGCAACAGAACTTCACTCATTGGGCTTAAAATTACCCGTTTCTCTTATATCAACTGCACCGAAGGAATTTCAAGAGCCAATTATTAATGCAAAAATGTCAAAGAACAAAAAGAAAAAATTAAAGAAAAAAGCTAAACGACAAAATGAACTTTTGAAAAAACAAATGGAACAAATTGAAGAGATTGAGGAACAAATAAAAACAACTGATGATGTTAAGGAAAATGGAGATGTCGAGGTACACGAGCCAAATAGTCCCGAACAAGATGTCACAACCGAAAGTATGGAAGATAATCTCGAAAGTAAAGAGTCTCCCGATACTTCGGAACCTTCTATTCCATCTTTGCATGTTAATGGTGTTGACGGATTAGCAGGCGGTGAAAAAATTGAAAATCAAATAAATGAACAACAGAAAATTGAAAATGTCACCCTGAGTGATGTAGAGAAAAGTTGTGGCGAAGGTGTTGTGTCCCTTGATTTCCCAGAGAAAGACGAATGTAGTGATGGTAAATTAATTTTATTAAAATATTAATTACACAAATTTTTTTTTTAAATTAAAAACTTGATTAATTTAAATATTAGTTAAATATTATATAATGCTTATTAATTTTCATAATTTGTTTTATTTTTCTTTACAGCTGAAATTTTTTTTATTAACTAAAGCGAAGATCCTGTAAAATAAATTTTACCAAATTTTGAAATATTCTAAATTTTACTGAACTATATTTAAAGAATAAAATCTTTTTACCAAACGTGTGAAAAATGTTTAATTGTAAAAACTTTGATTTAATAGATAAAAATGAAAATTCACCTAATAAAAATCAGGAGAAACAAGCTTGTGTTGCTCCATTGGATCCAGCACTAGTGGACTGTGATGTTGAAGTAAAAATAGCAGATCTTGGAAACGCTTGTTGGGTTTATAAGAAATTCACTGAAGATATTCAAACCAGGCAGTATCGATCTCTTGAAGTATTATTAGGAGATGGCTACAGCACATCAGCCGATATTTGGTCAACAGCTTGTATGGCTTTTGAACTTGCAACTGGTGACTATCTTTTCGAACCACACAGTGGTGAAGATTATTGCAGGTAAATTTGAAATTTTTATTTTTAATTTAAAAAAACATTTTTATTTAAAAAACTTTACATTATTTACAGTCATAAAAAAATATATTAATAAATTATTTTAAAAACTTTTAAAGCTCCTTATTTCTTAAAATTTTTACAATTTTGATTTTTTAAATTAAAAAATTTTTTTTTTTTAATCTACTTTATAAAATTGCCAAATAAAAATTCAAATAATTTTTAATTTGACTCCACAAAAATTCTGACACGTCTAATGTGAGTAATCATGCGTCCCTATGTAATAAAAAAATGAGAAAATAGAAAAAAAATAAATAACACAATTTTTTGCAGGGATGAAGATCATTTAGCTCATATAATTGAACTTCTTGGCGAGATACCACGACGAATTGCTCTTTCTGGAAAGCATTCACGATTGTTTTTCAATAAAAAAGGAGAATTGAAGCACATTACCGGCTTGAAACCATGGGGATTGTGTGCCGTTTTAATAGAGAAATACGATTGGTCAGCCAGTGAAGCACGAGAATTTGCTGATTTTTTAACTCCAATGCTTGAATTTGATCCCGATTTACGAGCCACGGCAGCTGAGTGCCTAAAGCATCCATGGTTGCAAATCAAGTGATTACGTTTTCTCATGTTGTATTTTTAATCAGTAAAAATTTCTAATTGTTTTATTGTCCCAAATGCAATCATAACCGAGAGTGTGGTAGGAAAGCAATTTATATGACTGGATAAATCGAAAATCATCAATAATCATCGTTCAATCATCAAATTTATCAATAATCGACAGCAGATTTAATTTAGGTAGAGCAATTAATTCTCAAGTGTAATAACAAATCCCCGTGTCTTCATTAGTTTTAAATTTATTAAAATTGACGAATTTCCATTAAATTTATTTAAATGATTTCATCTGCGAAATGATAAAAAAAATTTCATGACAATTTTTATTTTATTTCATTTTTATTAAATTTTTTTTAGTATTTTTTCTTTTTTTTTTTTAATTGAAAAAATATTCCGGTGACAATTATACAACACTCTCGGCTTCTGTCAAAAAAATCGAATTTTGATCTATTGTCAATATTTTTCATATTTAAATTAAATTTTTACTTTATTTTTACTCATTGTTTTCTTTTATTCATATTCTGGTCATTGGAAGAGTTAACAATACAATTAAAGGTAGTGCTTGAAGTTATTTAAAATGACAAAACAGTAACTACTTTTTTTTTGTTCTTGATGCTCTTGTTATTAATTTATACAACGTTTTGGTAAAAGTAAAGAAAGAAGGAGAAAAGGAAAAAAACAATAGAAAAGGAGCAGATGAATGATTTTATATTTTGTTGACAATTTAAAGAAGATCGGTGCTGCTTTGCACACAGACTGATGCATAATACTCATGTGCGATGAGCAGCGTTCTTATTTTGAAAAAAAAAATGAATTTCAAATATGTTATATTCGAAATAGAAAAAGCAGTGTGCGACGATGAAATGTCAACTTATTTTAAATAATAAGTCAATCGATTAAAAAATAACTGGACTGTGTTTTATAAAAAAAAAAAACTTAATACAACCTTAATTTTAACAGCGAAGAAAAACGGAAGACAAACATTATTTCAAATAATAATGAGCCTTGATAAATAAGAAGAGCATTATTAAATTATTGACAAGTTTATTCTGCGTTTTAATTTAAAGAACCGAACAGCTCTCTGGATAAAAAAAAATCGTCGTCTCATTCGTTATTCATGAAAAAAAAAAATTAAAACATCAAAAATAATAATAATATTAATGCGAAGCGACTAGAATTTATAAATAATTCGTAGGACCACTGAAATGCTTTGTGTCGTCTCCTTTTATTATAAAAAAAACTCCTGAAAACATTTTTCGAAAAAATGCTAACGGGAGATAATTCTTTATTTGAGACAAATGTTCCCACATAGCAAAGTCAACTACTAGAAATATTGAAAAAAATATAGTATTTAACAGACGAAAAATCGTGATCCAATATACGTTAAGCTTATCCCCCGATTACAATCGTTGGACGATTAAACTATATGCATTCTCTTATCTTACTCGAGTTAATAAACTTTAAAAAAAATACTACTATGAAAAATAGCAGTCGTATAAAATTTGTACAGTGAAATACATTAAATTACGTAAAAATTAGTTGGTAATAATATTTGTTTTACGAGGTCCGATGAAATCTACTGCGTTTAGTCAAATAAAACTCATTTTGGATTCAGTAATATTAATGTTAATTAATTTTTTTTTCAAATTTGCCAATTTAATTTATTAACTACTTCAATATTTCATTAACATTGTTAATTAACTTTACAGTTAAAATTCCTAATTTTTTTAAACATATCCAAATCCTTTATTCCTTTTTTTCAAAAAATTTTTAAGTGCAGAATATTTCTTAAATTGTGACTATTACATACTTAAAACAAACAAAAAGATAGCATAATTTTTATTTTATTTTAATTTTTCTATATTTGAAACTTTTAAATTTTGTCCATAAAATTTTGGTTTTTTCAAATAGAATTAAATAATTATAAAATTAATTAATTACTTAATTAAATAAATTAGGAGAAATTGTATTATTGATTAATTTGATGCATTAAATTTATTTATTTATGAAATCAATTCTTGTTTAAAATTTTTATTTTTATTATTTTATTTATTGTTTTAAAAAAATTGTAATAAAACGTTTTATATGTAAATGATTTCTTTTTAATTATCCATTTCGGAAGTACAATAAAATTATATCGACTATCAAAAAAAAAAAAAATTACGTAAATAGATTTCAATGAATGGCCAGTATTTTCGCGTAGATCGCAACACTCAATATTAACAATATAACATTATCATTATGAGAATAATTCTCAATTCTACTTAAAAACTAAAGAAGGGATAAAAGAATATTTAAAAAAAAAAGAAGAACTGTACAGTTTGATGTCCGAAATTTTGATTCGGATTTAACAAATGCTAACTTAAACATTTGTTATACCAATTAGAAAAAAATATGTACTTCCACTTATATTTTTCATGACAAGAAATGATCCTTTGTCAATGTGTACTTAGAATTTTGTAGAGAGAAAAAATCACCCTCCCCCCAATAAAAAAAAGAACCACAAATGTAATCCTTATAGATATTATAAATTAATTTGTAGAGGGACCTAAAAATAAATTTAACAATGTAATATTTTCCAACATAAATATATATAAAAATCAAGATGAATTTCACATTATTAGGAGAAGAGAAATTTCGAAAAATATAAAGGTTTATAATTAATTGAAATATTGCAAATTCAAATATTGAAAAATTTATCAGATTAATAAAAATTGATTTCAAATTTTCACGAAAATCAGATAATAGGAACCACGAATTAATTTATAAATTATCAGATTTGTAGTACATATTATATATTTAAAAATAGCATTTAAGCACTGCATGTTTAAATAAATAATGGCACCTTTATAAAATACTTACAAACAGTATTATAGTTGAATTTATCTTTAAAAAAAAAATTATTCATTCAAACGTTTTTTTTATATAAAAAAAATAGATATTTATAAATAACTAAAAATTGAAAATTTCGCGAATAAAATAAATAAATACGCTATACTGCTGATTGTAATATTTTATAGTCATTATATGAAAAAATTACCTATAATATCTAGATAGAATTTTCATCCGATTATTTTGAGAATCTATTTAAACGTATGGTACAATTTTTTATACATATAAAGTTTTTATACAAAAATGATTTATTATTTCTTTTATAAGAAATTAATCTCGTGATACATTTTTTGTACATACTTTTTTTTTCTTTATGAAAAAAAATATGTTGATCGGATAAAAATTCTACTAATGCGGTTCAATCAACTAATGCAGAGAAAAATTGGATTAAAGTCGACAAAAAAAAAAAAAAAAAAATTGCTTTTCGACTCGAATGTGAAAATATTTTTACAGCTTTTTTCTATCTCATTGTCATGAAAAAATTATAAAATTTGAAAAATGCTTTATTAAATTTGAGAAAATGAATGAACTCATTTTCAAAAATAATTTCATTAAAAAGAAATTTCATGATTTTTCTTAAGACAAAAAAGAAGTAAAATTTCATTCCTATAATGATCAATAAAATTAATTTAAATTGATAAAGCTGATGAATAGATAGAAAAATGCTTGTAAATATTAATTGATTTTTTGATCATTGAATAATATAATTATTAATTATAATTAATCAGCTAGGAGCTTATTGAAAACAAAAAAAAAAAGACACGAATATTGTCGACGATGATCGATGGCTTTACAGGAAGAAGTGATAACTTAAATTATAAAATTACATGAACCCTGGTGGTGTGTGACTTTTAGAACTTTATTATCGCCTGTAATAATAAATAAGGATTTTCATAAATCAACCAAAAAAAAAAAAAACGAGTCAATGGCAACTGGAGTGTTTTTGGAACAATTAATTGACCCTTGCTATGCTTCTTAGATATAAAAAAAAAGAAAAATCAGCTACCGCAAATTTTTCGATTTAATTTTTAACGACCAATAAAATATGCATTTTATACGAGCTTATTTTTCAAATGCCAAAACGTGTTCACGTGCTTTTGACATTTCTAATAATATAATTAATATATTGAAATTGTTACACAAGAGGCATTCAATGGTCATTATAATTGTACTCCAGTTTAATAAAACCATTTGAAGGAAAATTAAGAAAAAAAAAATTAGTAGATCATTAAATTTACTAATAGAGAAAAATTGAAATGAATAAATGGATTTGATGTTTATTCGCTGACTTCACGTATATGTATTTGCTAAATTTAAAAATTGCAAATAACAAATTCGTGTAGAAGAATTTCATCCCCATTCCCCTTTAAAGACTGGTATGAGAAAAATAATAAATTGGCTTAAAAATGTCCATTAATGTTCAGTTCATTTTTTGTTTACCGAACAGACAACGAAAGAAAATTAAAAAAAAAAAACAACAAAAACAATACTTAAATGATTTAAAATTGTACTTATATTGTCCACAAAATATACAATATATATAGATACATGCTTGTCGCATTCAAAATTTTTGCAGGTTTTACAATTTCACAACACTCTAATTTATAATACATTCATTAAGTGTAAAAGTCGAAAAAAAAATTGATAAACATGGATACTTCGTAGTTCAGTTCAATTTAAAAACAAAAGAGAAAATAGATAATTAAATTTACTATTTGATATTAATCTTCTTAATAAATTTTTTTTTTTAAAGTAAAAATTTAAAATTTGAGAAAACTTGAAAAATTTTTGAAAGCAAGGCAAAAAGAAGCAAAATGGTTTAAAACAATTTAATAAAATTTAAATCAATTTACAAAAAATTTTTATTTTATTGAAACATTGTAGTCACTTTTTGAAAGTGATGGAAGCCCTTAATTAAAAAAAAAAGTGTCTCATATTCTGAACATACGAAGTTTCCATTATTTTATTTCCTTCCCTTCTAATTATTGAAAATTGTTATTTTAAATTCGAGTGAATGTTCTGGGAATTATAAAATTAGTACATATATATGTTTTTGTATTCACATCTGAGCATAAATCACGCACACTTGCCAAAAATTAAACGTAATTATATTTACAATCTTTGTTTAGAGTCAGAAAAATTATTTAAAATAGCTACACACAATTGATCCAGCAAAGCACACACTATTGATTTGATATTACTTTTGTAATTTATTATTTGATATTTTTTACACAATTTGTGACAACGTTAACATTGAATAAAAAATAGTGGTCCTTGTGGATTGTCACTCAACTTACAAATAGAATTTTAAAAATTAAACAAATTAATTAAATAAAATAGATCTTTCATCAAAGTAATTACATTATTCTTTATCTCCTTTTGTGGACGGATAAAAATACAGTGTAATTAATATTTATTTAATTAAAATTCTTTGATTGGTAAGTAGCTATTTACATGAATAATTAATTAAAATGTTTAATTGTGCGCAATCAAGAAAACAGTCACAAAATCCTTTAAAGTACTGTACAATGTTCACAGCAATTTTTTAAATTATTTTTTAATACTGATGAAAACAGATGAAAACAATAGATTGATATATTATAAACTCGATGTTTGTATTTTTGTTCTAGTTTCTGAACTTATATAATTATTAATTAAGAAGAACATTAATAATTTTAAATGACATTGACAACAATATTGAATGAATATAGTAATCAAACGGATAATGATTTACATTTCTTATTTCTCATCTCAACAACTTTTTCCCCTATTTTTAATATTATGAAATATTTCAGTATTTTTATTATTTTGTTTCTCATCTTTAAAAACACTATTCTTTGGATAATAAATTGTATAATAAAACACCCTAATGATCAGTATAATAAAAATAACAATACTTGACTTAGTTCCTTAGAATGAAACGACTAGGAAAGTGTTCTGAACGTGTATTGTATAATATACAATACACAATATACAATTTATATATTTATTATTGTACTAATAAAATTTGACTAAATTTTTATACTATAAGTAACAATCACAAATATTTCTTAGCTATCAATTAATATTGATAATTAAATTATCTATTAACGTCAAATAATTGTTTTAAATTAAATCAACAGCTATTAAAATTATTAAAATTGTTTATAATAATTAAAAAGTTCTTTGTATTCATTAAAATGTAGGTATATGTAAAATTAATTTCACTATCAACTTAAAGCTAACACTCCTGGCACAATCAATTATTATGGTCCATAAAAGTTATTAGTGCAAGCTTCTCACTGAAATATTAATAAAAATTGTGTTTAAGAATGTGCGTCGCTTTAAGGCAATTTTCCATCCCACTCATGAAGACTATTATGAATTAAATTATTCATATACATTTTGGAGATCAATATTAGATTTTTTTTTAAATTAAATATTTAATACAGACCCATTATGTGAATTTAAAGATTTTTTCTTGGCAACTTCTTCTTCTAAAATATTGTTGCTTGCACAACTGAGTTGTGCAGTGGAAGCTGTAGTTTCTTCTTCAGATTCAATAGGACTAATTCTTATTGCCTGATACCATTGATTCGTCAAATCCGTCATTTGGGATTTGCAATCTTTTAATTCTTGTTGCGTAAAACGTCTTGTGAAGAAGGGAATAAAGAATTTATAATCCCAACGGGCAAAACCTCGAATTCTCGATTGTGTGAACGAAACTTCTATTTCTTCCTCCGTAAATTCGGATAAATGTTCTGAATCAATTGCTTGGCCCTTTGAAATAAAAAAAAAATATTATCTCTAATAACAATTAAATATAAATGTGTTATTATTAAAATTATGATTGTTACCCATTCTCTAGTTTTACTGAGAGAAATTTCTTTTTCTCTTCGTCTTCTTCTACTACTGCTCTTCTGCTTTTTTTCAGCTCGAAGATATTTCAATAAAGGCATAGTGGAACCACCAAAGATTAATGTCGTAAATAAAACTATAATGAGGGTAGTTGTTATAATCACATGCCTTGTTTCATCACTGAAGTTTAAATGAAGTGATAAAGCATACGATATAGCACCTCGGAGACCACTGAACCACATTATAAACATCATTTTTTTCGTTATTTTATGTTCTCGAAATTTATTTACAAGTAGAGCCAATGGAAAAATATTTGCAGCTCGACCAATTAAACACAAAATTAAGGACCAAACGACCAAAGCTGGTTCAGCCTATTTCGAATAATGAAAAGAAAGATTATTATTAATAAAAAGAAATGTAAATTTCAAAATTACATATTTAAATATTTGATAAATTGAAAATTACTCACTCTATGCCGAAAACTAAATAGCGCGAGGCCCAAATAAGCAAAGACGCAAGTTTCAGCAATAAAAGCTAATGTTCTCATAGTTTGTTGCATAGTTATTTGTGTTACAGTTGATAAATTAAAATGAGTATAATGCGACATGACGATTCCATTGAATAAAATTGCCATGATTCCTGAAAATTAAATTCACTAATTAATATTTTTAAAATACAGTCGGAGACTGATTAAAAATAAAATTTACCTGATAATTGAATTCCTTCGGAAAGTACATAAGGCGCATAAGTAAATACTAACATAATTCCAAATTCCAATGAGGGATTTTTTCTAAGATCCACGTGTTTTAATAATAAAGCACTGAGAAGAGCAAATGCAACTCCAATGCCAGCAGAGGCAAAAAACATAAAAACAAATCTATTAAATCCCAAAATAATAGCCTCGCTCGTAGTAGCTGCATTATTTGACTCCAATATCGAGGTCGTTAAAACAATAGAGATTGCATCATTTAAAATAGATTCTCCAAAAACCAACATATTTAAAACGGGATCAACATCAAGAGCATGAAAAATTGCCACTGTCGCCACAGGATCCACAGCCGATATTAATGATCCAAATGCAAAACTTTCAACAAAACTCAATTTATATGCAACATCAGCTAGGCCCAATAAATAAATTCCAGCTCCAATTACAAAAGCCGAAATAGTTGTTCCAATAATGGCAAAAACCATAATACTTCCAATATTTTGGAAAAAATTACCCTTATGTAAATTATAACCAGATTCAAATATAATTGGTGGAAGTAGTACAAGAAAGAAAGCTGTTGGTGAGAATGCCTCTTCCTTACGCCAATTTGCAATATTTTTATAAGACATTAAATTAATTATCATTCCAATTGCACCACCTAAAAATACAATCACCACGGATTCGGGTAGATATTGAAAATTTGTTTGAAGCATCAAATGAATTAACAATATTCCCAATGCTAATACGCAAAGGACGAAAAAAATCGACATTGAACTATTGTGTTCCTCTTCAGCAGAACCTTTTGCAGGTAAAATTGGTTCAACAGGTGTGGAAACAGTTGTTGTGCCACTAATATTTGTTGAATTTGTTGCATCGAAACTTTGAGTAGTATTGGAATCATCTACAACCATAATTGGTTTTATGGTTGTTAAATTTTTACCACTCGCATCTTCATGTTTTGCTGTTAATGTCGAATTAACACTTTCTTTTGATTCATTTTGAAAATTGATAATTGTCTTATTTACATTTTGAACAGCAGTAGAATTCCAAGGATTCACTTTGTCTAACAAATTATTATTATTGTCGACTGAATTTAATGCCAAAATGCATGTTGCTCCAAAAATTAATAGTGCCACGAAGAATAAAAATAAATTCTTTTTTATTTCAAATAATCTACTAAACGGAAACATGTTTTCTACAATAGTTACATTTAATTTTGTTTCTCGAAGAAGCCGATACACGTTACTTCATGTATCAGCTGTCACTTTGACACGTCGCACAAAACAGCTGATTGGGTTATTGTGGGAACGTTTTTAAAATTTAGTTATTTTAAAGAATTAATACCTCGTCATGTATTGTATATACAATGAAAACAATTTAAAAAGAATTGAGTTTAATTAAATATCACTGAATAATATTAATTAAAGGTAATAACGTGATAATAAATAAAAATGTTGAGGTTAGAAAAAATATGAGGTGATCAATCTATAGAAATAAACACATTTTTATGTATATACCTGGTATATACATTCATAAATGGAGAAGCATGCGCATGAAATATAAATTCGAGTCAATTTTGAGGTTATGTTACAATGTTTTAAAAAGTAAGCAAGATAAAATTAATTCCAACATGGTAAACAATTATTATAGAGTAAACTGAGACTCCTGTAAATAATATTCGTGGTAGCAGGAGTGGTCCGCTATTACTCAAGTATTTCCTCTATATTGACAATTAATATTTGTCGATACTAGTAATAATAATAACAATAATAATAACGTTCAAAGTCGAAAGGCATATCAACGATATCAACAATGAATAATAATTAACTTAAAGTAAAAGACAACGTTTGTATAGAAATGTTTATGTCCAGGTTGATATAAAAGTTGACGCATCCAGTGGAAAAGATTTTTGTATAAAGATCATCTTCCACATGATACGTCAACTTTTATATCAACCTTCACATAACCATTTCTCCACAAACCTTATCTTTAACATTTCATTCCAATCACTCTTAAAACAAAAAGTAAAGGTATTTGATATACTTATATAATCAACTAAAATATATTAATTAATTAAATAAAAACCTAATAATGCTACCATGAATATTATTTATAAGAGGCTCATTTTACTCTATAACATAATTTTTTACCATGTTCGAATTAATTATAACTTGTTGCGACTTTTAAAAAAATTGTAACATAACCTCAAAATTAGACGTTTTACGAACATGAGTATTTAAAAATTGACACCCAGATCCGAGTAGAGGAAGACCCTTTTTATGACCAAAAACGCATCAAAAACATAAAAAACTTACCAAAAAAATTCAATTTTTCTTAGGCAGAAGATTTTATTGCATATTCTTGCACAAAATACACCGAAAAGTGTAGAAAAAAATTGACACCCAGATCCGAGTAGAGGAAGACCATTTTTATGACCAAAAACGCATCAAAAACATAAAAATTTACCAAAAAAATTCAATTTTTCTTAGGCAGACGATTTTATTGCATATTCTTGCACAAAATACACCGAAAAGTGTAGAAAAAAATTGACACCCAGATCCGAGTAGAGGAAGACCATTTTTATGACCAAAAACGCATCAAAAACATAAAAAACTTACCAAAAAAATTCAATTTTTCTTAGGCAGACGATTTTATTGCATATTCTTGCACAAAATACACCGAAAAGTGTAGAAAAAAATTGACACCCAGATCCGAGTAGAGGAAGACCATTTTTATGACCAAAAACGCATCAAAAACATAAAAAACTTACCAAAAAAATTCAATTTTTCTTAGGCAGACGATTTTATTGCATATTCTTGCACAAAATACACCGAAAAGTGTAGAAAAAAATTGACACCCAGATCCGAGTAGAGGAAGACCATTTTTATGACCAAAAACGCATCAAAAACATAAAAAACTTACCAAAAAAATTCAATTTTTCTTAGGCAGACGATTTTATTGCATATTCTTGCACAAAATACACCGAAAAGTGTAGAAAAAAATTGACACCCAGATCCGAGTAGAGGAAGACCATTTTTATGACCAAAAACGCATCAAAAACATAAAAAACTTACCAAAAAAATTCAATTTTTCTTAGGCAGACGATTTTATTGCATATTCTTGCACAAAATACACCGAAAAGTGTAGAAAAAAATTGACACCCAGATCCGAGTAGAGGAAGACCATTTTTATGACCAAAAACGCATCAAAAACATAAAAAACTTACCAAAAAAATTCAATTTTTCTTAGGCAGACGATTTTATTGCATATTCTTGCACAAAATACACCGAAAAGTGTAGAAAAAAATTGACACCCAGATCCGAGTAGAGGAAGACCATTTTTATGACCAAAAACGCATCAAAAACATAAAAAACTTACCAAAAAAATTCAATTTTTCTTAGGCAGACGATTTTATTGCATATTCTTGCACAAAATACACCGAAAAGTGTAGAAAAAAATTGACACCCAGATCCGAGTAGAGGAAGACCATTTTTATGACCAAAAACGCATCAAAAACATAAAAAACTTACCAAAAAAATTCAATTTTTCTTAGGCAGACGATTTTATTGCATATTCTTGCACAAAATACACCGAAAAGTGTAGAAAAAAATTGACACCCAGATCCGAGTAGAGGAAGACCATTTTTATGACCAAAAACGCATCAAAAACATAAAAAACTTACCAAAAAAATTCAATTTTTCTTAGGCAGACGATTTTATTGCATATTCTTGCACAAAATACACCGAAAAGTGTAGAAAAAAATTGACACCCAGATCCGAGTAGAGGAAGACCATTTTTATGACCAAAAACGCATCAAAAACATAAAAAACTTACCAAAAAAATTCAATTTTTCTTAGGCAGACGATTTTATTGCATATTCTTGCACAAAATACACCGAAAAGTGTAGAAAAAAATTGACACCCAGATCCGAGTAGAGGAAGACCATTTTTATGACCAAAAACGCATCAAAAACATAAAAAACTTACCAAAAAAATTCAATTTTTCTTAGGCAGACGATTTTATTGCATATTCTTGCACAAAATACACCGAAAAGTGTAGAAAAAAATTGACACCCAGATCCGAGTAGAGGAAGACCATTTTTATGACCAAAAACGCATCAAAAACATAAAAAACTTACCAAAAAAATTCAATTTTTCTTAGGCAGACGATTTTATTGCATATTCTTGCACAAAATACACCGAAAAGTGTAGAAAAAAATTGACACCCAGATCCGAGTAGAGGAAGACCATTTTTATGACCAAAAACGCATCAAAAACATAAAAAACTTACCAAAAAAATTCAATTTTTCTTAGGCAGACGATTTTATTGCATATTCTTGCACAAAATACACCGAAAAGTGTAGAAAAAAATTGACACCCAGATCCGAGTAGAGGAAGACCATTTTTATGACCAAAAACGCATCAAAAACATAAAAAACTTACCAAAAAAATTCAATTTTTCTTAGGCAGACGATTTTATTGCATATTCTTGCACAAAATACACCGAAAAGTGTAGAAAAAAATTGACACCCAGATCCGAGTAGAGGAAGACCATTTTTATGACCAAAAACGCATCAAAAACATAAAAAACTTACCAAAAAAATTCAATTTTTCTTAGGCAGACGATTTTATTGCATATTCTTGCACAAAATACACCGAAAAGTGTAGAAAAAAATTGACACCCAGATCCGAGTAGAGGAAGACCATTTTTATGACCAAAAACGCATCAAAAACATAAAAAACTTACCAAAAAAATTCAATTTTTCTTAGGCAGACGATTTTATTGCATATTCTTGCACAAAATACACCGAAAAGTGTAGAAAAAAATTGACACCCAGATCCGAGTAGAGGAAGACCATTTTTATGACCAAAAACGCATCAAAAACATAAAAAACTTACCAAAAAAATTCAATTTTTCTTAGGCAGACGATTTTATTGCATATTCTTGCACAAAATACACCGAAAAGTGTAGAAAAAAATTGACAGCCAGATCCGAGTAGAGGAAGACCATTTTTATGACCAAAAACGCATCAAAAACAAAAAAAACTTACCAAAAAAATTCAATTTTTCTTAGGCAGACGATTTTATTGCATATTCTTGCACAAAATACACCGAAAAGTGTAGAAAAAAATTGACACCCAGATCCGAGTAGAGGAAGACCATTTTTATGACCAAAAACGCATCAAAAACATAAAAAACTTACCAAAAAAATTCAATTTTTCTTAGGCAGACGATTTTATTGCATATTCTTGCACAAAATACACCGAAAAGTGTAGAAAAAAATTGACACCCAGATCCGAGTAGAGGAAGACCATTTTTATGACCAAAAACGCATCAAAAACATAAAAAACTTACCAAAAAAATTCAATTTTTCTTAGGCAGACGATTTTATTGCATATTCTTGCACAAAATACACCGAAAAGTGTAGAAAAAAATTGACACCCAGATCCGAGTAGAGGAAGACCATTTTTATGACCAAAAACGCATCAAAAACATAAAAAACTTACCAAAAAAATTCAATTTTTCTTAGGCAGACGATTTTATTGCATATTCTTGCACAAAATACACCGAAAAGTGTAGAAAAAAATTGACACCCAGATCCGAGTAGAGGAAGACCATTTTTATGACCAAAAACGCATCAAAAACATAAAAAACTTACCAAAAAAATTCAATTTTTCTTAGGCAGACGATTTTATTGCATATTCTTGCACAAAATACACCGAAAAGTGTAGAAAAAAATTGACACCCAGATCCGAGTAGAGGAAGACCATTTTTATGACCAAAAACGCATCAAAAACATAAAAAACTTACCAAAAAAATTCAATTTTTCTTAGGCAGACGATTTTATTGCATATTCTTGCACAAAATACACCGAAAAGTGTAGAAAAAAATTGACACCCAGATCCGAGTAGAGGAAGACCATTTTTATGACCAAAAACGCATCAAAAACATAAAAAACTTACCAAAAAAATTCAATTTTTCTTAGGCAGACGATTTTATTGCATATTCTTGCACAAAATACACCGAAAAGTGTAGAAAAAAATTGACACCCAGATCCGAGTAGAGGAAGACCATTTTTATGACCAAAAACGCATCAAAAACATAAAAAACTTACCAAAAAAATTCAATTTTTCTTAGGCAGACGATTTTATTGCATATTCTTGCACAAAATACACCGAAAAGTGTAGAAAAAAATTGACACCCAGATCCGAGTAGAGGAAGACCATTTTTATGACCAAAAACGCATCAAAAACATAAAAAACTTACCAAAAAAATTCAATTTTTCTTAGGCAGACGATTTTATTGCATATTCTTGCACAAAATACACCGAAAAGTGTAGAAAAAAATTGACACCCAGATCCGAGTAGAGGAAGACCATTTTTATGACCAAAAACGCATCAAAAACATAAAAAACTTACCAAAAAAATTCAATTTTTCTTAGGCAGACGATTTTATTGCATATTCTTGCACAAAATACACCGAAAAGTGTAGAAAAAAATTGACACCCAGATCCGAGTAGAGGAAGACCATTTTTATGACCAAAAACGCATCAAAAACATAAAAAACTTACCAAAAAAATTCAATTTTTCTTAGGCAGACGATTTTATTGCATATTCTTGCACAAAATACACCGAAAAGTGTAGAAAAAAATTGACACCCAGATCCGAGTAGAGGAAGACCATTTTTATGACCAAAAACGCATCAAAAACATAAAAAACTTACCAAAAAAATTCAATTTTTCTTAGGCAGACGATTTTATTGCATATTCTTGCACAAAATACACCGAAAAGTGTAGAAAAAAATTGACACCCAGATCCGA